CATGAGTCATAACCACCTGCAGATGAATTCAAGAGAAAGCAAGAGGGATTGCTGTGATGTGTTTTCCCGTGTTCGTAAATCAACCCACATAGTTGAAATTCCCGTATCTTCCTTTGTCTTCAATTTCTGCAGAAATGTCGTGAGCCACGTTTTGTCAACTCTGTCAGCACGTAGACTTCCATTTTCAATACCTGGAAAACGTTGATTGGAAGCTCTGGCTTAGAAACATCCTTACTGTTATAATCCGCTAAGAGTGTCTGTTGTGTGATCTGCCCCGGTGGTGTATGTATGTGTGTTTGACCGGAAATTCATAACTTCCTTCAAAGGAGCGGCAGAGCGCTCAAACTGATAAGTGATGTAGGGGGTCGGGCAGGAACACTATTGGTAGGTGGCAGGAACTGATAAGAGCTGATAAGATACCGCAGGGGTCTTAGAAGGGGAGGGTCACCAAATTCATAGCGTCGGCCAGAGTAACGACCGGACGTTGGATCCAAGTAGCAACATAGGGGGCAGGATGGGAACATTATTGGTGGGTGGCAGGAAGTGATAACCGCTGATAAGATACCATGAGGAGCCTTAAAAAGAGTGGGTTACCAAACTCATAACACCGGCCAGAGTAACGGCCGGGCGTTGGATCCAAGTAGAGAGATAGGGGGCAGGATGGAACATTTTCGGTGGGTGGCAGGAACTGATAAGAGCTGATAAGATAGCACAGGGGTTCTAGAAGGGGAGGGTCACCAAGTTCATAGCACCGGCCAGAGCAAGCGACGGACACGTAGGATCAATGATAAGGGACAGTGCGCAGGATGGACATTATTGGGCCGGTGGCAGGCAGTTGATAAAACAGCTGATAGATACCACAATCGCCTTACAAAAGGACAGCAAGAGATCTACAAGTTGCGCCACAGCGACGGTAAGGTGTCGCTTCCCACGATAGAGGGCAGGATGGGAACCTTATCGCTGGGTGGCAGGACGTTATAACAGCTGATAGGACACAACAGCCCTTAACAACACGAGTCGTAGCAACACTGGGAACTACCCTCCAGCAAGTGATTCAGACGTTTTTAGCGAACATGGTAGGGAGACTTTGGTGGCAAGAGACATGTTGTGATACTGCTCCTGACAAGGGCTTAGAGTTAGTATCTGTCCCCTCCCTACTCTGCTTGCGATTGAGCTTCACCACTGTGGTCCAGGAATCGATGAGCAAAGGCTTGGTGAGCCAGGCACTTTCTATCCTTGAGCTATATAGACCAAATTGATTCAACCGCTAAACTCTAAAGATTCTTCCAAAAGTAAAAGCTTAAAGATGTTTGTCAGTGAGGAGTGATAAGGGCCACCAGCAGACGGACTGAAAGCTGCTCAACGGAAACGCTAGGAAATAAGTAGCTTCCACCAAGACTTGGATAATGTTACCACCGAACTTCTTTCAACCGCTAAGTTGCCCTATTTCCATCAAATGGTGGGTGTTTTTAGAAACGTGATAAGCATCAGACATTGGCAAATGTTCATTAAAAAGGTGAAATATAGTGCAGTAAGCCGTACTTTGAGACATGGAATCAAGCCAAGTATTAGTGGTTAGCACAGAAATCCTATCAACAATCAGCACCCCGGCCGGACGCGCAGTAGTGTGCGTCAGCCGGACTGGTTCCGAACATAAGATAGTTGGGTCTTCTACTACCCACTTGATCTGCGACACAATGATGCTCTGGAATACTTGCAATACTGACCTGAATTTGCTCGGCCACCCCTTCAACCTTGAGCGCGTACTGCCCTGTGTTGTCACGACACCGCATCACACGGCCACCAACCCACCTCGCAGTTTCTTCTTCGATGGTCCACCTCTCCACCTGTTAGTAACACCCGATGAATCTATTGTATACCACTGTCGCACCAGTTGCTCCAGCCTGCACTGGCTGGCCAAAAGTCGTACCTGCATCCCTGGCTGAAGTTGAATCAGCTCTTGAGCCATAGCTCTTGCTCACCTAGAAGACTTGAGTTTTTGAAGCAGCGTATTAAATGAAGGTAACATCTTGCATCAACACCCTTTTATATGGAAGGATAGTTATCAAAACATGTTTACCGTAGAAATCATCCATACATCATTCTCAAGGTGGATTTCGTGCTGTGTTATGAAACGTCAGTGGTTCTTCACGATAGCAGGCGATAACGTCTGCTCTCTCGCTCATGCTATCTGTAGTTTTATAAAAGCGCGTGCTTTCCCACAGTGCAGCATGAAGGCGGATGAGCGTGGTGCACCACGTGCAGCACGCCGTGCGGAATGGGTTAAGTCTACTTTCGCACTTAAGTCTGCAGTAAGATCTCCGAAAAGAGATCTTAGCAGACTGCAGACAGGGCGAAAGGATCTCTCATGAGACCGTTAGAGGGCATTCCAAGCAGGCTATTGAAGTGAATCTACATAGTGTTCTTCTTCCTTCTCTATAGACACTAGTTGACATAGACGGCGGTGTTGTCCTGATGGGATCGTGCCTGTTATGACCAGGCTCTGTTCTCGAAGAAGTTTAAGAAGTCCTCCTGAGTACTAGATTGTCCGGAAAGTTCTCAGCTTTTGTGTTACTATTTTTTGTACATTCATTGCTGATTAAAAACTCATTCTCCCTTGCGTCTCAGTAGTACATCCTGAAGAGAATTTTTTGCGCTATCTGATGGTATAGTTGCCGTTTCACCATTGCTTGATAAACCCCCTTTTCCCATGACTTTTTGAAGCATGTCGACAAATTTCTTTCTGGAGATTTCAGCCTTGAAGACAGGGCAGAGCATTGGTTGGGGATTCCCCATGGAGGGTCGTATTTGGCCGCCAGAGAGGGGGGGGGGTCGTAGTGGGTGCGGCAGCCAGTAACGAGCAGCGCAAATTGTCAATGTGCTGAGTCCTGAATCTTGCTTTGTAGAGAACTCGGATATGCAAAAAAATAGTACAAAACTTTCATTCATCAAACTAATCCGAAATAACTGCAAATATTAATAAGTCGACATCATCTCGTAGGTCCGTTGGTTGACTAAACAGTACAAACAGTCAAACTCTGGTTCGCTGCCAATGATATGGCGTGTCCGCGGTCGCGCTTGGCGCTGAGCCAACCTGTTTTTCTCGACAAGCGACAGGACTACCATATCGTTCGTATAGACGTTTTCCAGCAGTTGGTCTCCTTTATCGGAGTCAGCAATTGGCGGAGCACGAATCTGGCAGCGTCGACAGGGACATGTTCCATCATACGCAACGGAAAACACTGTAAACAAGTGCACAGGCTCGCCATGGACCTCCCTGAACCCTATAGACACATTTGCTCGCGCCTCTGTGAACAAACATTAATGCACCAAGTTAGCCACCATCAGACACTTTGCGCGGACCTCAGTGCGCGGCGCATCCAAAGTCAGCGTGATCGGCGCTAAACGAACCATATTCTGCTCCTGCTCCACCACAGGATACGTTTTTCATGCGTTCCTGGTTATTCGAACACGCTCACTTGAAACGGTACACAGAAAACGGACTTTCAAACAGTTCGGAGTGTTCCCCAACTAATCCCCACCGCAAATTATCTCATGAATCCCGGAGGCTTCTGAAATAGTTTAAGTAGTTTTTGGAAAGGAAAAATCTTCCAGAGTTCGATACTCGTTTCAGATTTCCAAACTATTGAGATTCAAGGGAAATATCTTGGTTCAAACCTGTAAAACTCGCTCTGCAAGCTATTTATCCAAAAAATGAATCCCTAAATACTCCCCAACGCAAATTTCTACATGAAATCGGCGATCTTTATGTACATGTTAGTATGTTTTGGAAAGATAAAATCTTTCTCCATACCACTGCGTTCTTCTTTTTCCCAAAGGTCCGCTATTACGGAAGTTATGGTCCTTTAAAGACACCC